CCTCACTTCCAGATGAGAAAACAGCGATGTACACAAGGGAGACTCAGTCCAGGCACAGGGCAGCAAATGACAAAGCTGTGTACAAACCCTGGTGCCCCGGCTCTGCCCCACGTGGCAAACCCAGCAGAAACCAGACTGCGTGTTCCACAGTGTGGCAGGAAGCGCGTAGGATTCAGCACTCTAACCATTTGTAATGGCGCAGCTCAGTGCCAGGGCATGCACTTTACTGCACAGCCACCAGCAGCCCGTGGAACGCTGTCATCTTCCCCATCAGGCTCAGCAATCCTCCTCCCCCAGACCCTGGTGACCTAATCTACTGTCTCCGAACTTTCCGATCCCTCAGCATCTCGTTGAAACAGACCATCCGGCATTCACCCCGCATGTCTGGGTTATCCTACTTAGCATAATGTCTTCACAACTTGCTTGTGCTACAGCCTGCCCTGGGTAGGTAACACCCTCCTATGTGGACTTTCAACACTGATACCCACACGCCCCTGTTCATGGACACTTGTGTTGTTTCTGCCTTGCAGAGGCTGCGAATATTATGCTGTAAATATCACTGCACGAATATCTGTCTGAGGCCCTAGGGTACAGGACTGTAAAAGTTTTGGTTTTTAACAAATTCTAATCTAGCATTTCTATGTGCCAAGCAGAGCATGTTGTAAGCCTGACTTCATCTAGGTTCTAATAACTCCTGTAAGATAGGAAATAATAATATCCCCATTTTACAAAGAAGGAAATGGACACCTAGGTCATGTTGCTTTACCTTCTGTGCCAAAAAGTCGGGTTCAAGCTGCACCCTGAGGGCTGAGTGGTCAGGTCCCAGCTGGGAAGAGTCCATAGTTACCCAGTCTTTCCAAAGGCATCCTCATGGGACGAAAGTTGGAACCCTCCCTGTGGGCCAGAAGACCCACCTAACTCTGCACCGCTGCCTCTTCTGACCCAATGCATCTCCCACCTCATTTATTTTCTTTTTTCCCTGTATGTTTATTGGTACATTTTAGGTATACAATATAATATTCATCACAGGGAATTTGTACTTTTACATGATACATCTTGGTTCTTTTTTTTCCCCATTATTCTGCCCTCCCTGCAGCCCCTCCACCCTTCCCTATTTACAAAGGCTTTGTTTCCATTTTTTTCTTTTCTCATATTTTTTTCTTTCCCTTCTTTCCTTTCCCCTACTCCACCTCACTTCCCCTGCGGACCTTTTCTTCCCATTTCACATTATCTATAATACATTTTGGTCTTCATTTACACTTTCAGTTTCTCACACCAGAGAAACTATTCATTATTTACACATGTGCATCCTATTTATTTCACTTAAGAGTATGGCCTCAAGGCGCATCCATTTAGCTATCAATATCTCTAGTTTATCATTCTTTATGGCTGAGTAGTAATCCATTTTATAAAACACATACACACAAACACACACACATACCTTCTTTATCCAGTTACCAGTTGATTGGCACTTGGGCTGTTTCCAAGATTTAGCTATTACAAACTGAACTACAAACATGGGTGCACATATATTGCTGTGGTATGATTCTTTTAATTCTTTTGGGAAGATAACCAGCAGGGGAATAGCTGGGTCAAATGGACCTCTAATCCTAGTTTTTTGGGGAAACTCCACACTGATTTCCACAGTGGTTGCCCCAGTCTACACTCTCACCAGCAGTGCAACAGAGTTCCTATTTCCCCACAACCCGCCAACATCTGTCATTGGTTGATTTCTTGATAGCAGCCATGCTTTCTCTGGGGTGAGATGGAATCTCAGTGTTGTTTCCATCTGCATCTCATGAATGACCAGTGATGTTGAACATTTTTTCATATGTTTATTTGCTGTTTCTACTTGTCTGAGAAATGTCTGTTCATTTCAGACGCCCATTTTAGGACTGTTTAATTTGGGGGGTCTGATTTTTTTAAAGTTCTTTATATATTCTAGATGGTAGACCTTTGTCTGAGGAACAGCTGGTAAACATTTTTCCCACATTGTGGGTTGTCTCTTCACGTTGATGGTGGTTTCTCTTGCTGTGCAGAAGCTTTTTAATAAGATGAGATGCCAGGTGTTGATTCTTTGTACTAGTTCAAGTGCAACTAAGGTTTTGATCATGAAGACTTTGCCTACACTGATGTCTTCAAGAGTTCTAACTTCTGTTCCAGCAGGTTAAGTGTTTCTGTTTTAATATTTAGATCTTTGACCCATTTTGATTTTAGTTTAGTGTATGTTGAGAGATAAGGGTCTAGTTTTAATCTCTGGCAAGTTGAAACCCAGCTTTATTAAAGAGGCTTTGGTGTGTGTGTGTGTGTGTGTGTGTGTGTGTGTGTGTGTGTGTTGTGGGTACTGGGAATTGAACTTGGGTCCTTGTGCTTGTGAGGCAGGTACCAGAACCACTGAGCTAAATCCCCGGCCCTAAAGAGGCTATCATGGATGGTTGGCTCTTTTGTCAAAGACAAGGTTACTGAGTGCGTCTGGTGTTGTTCTGCATCTTCTGATCTGTACCATTGATCCTAGGGTCTGGTTCTTTGCCAGTACCATGCTGTTTTTATTAGAGTAGCTTTGTAGTATAGCTTCAGCTTGGGGGTTGTGATATCCTCTGTCATGTCTCTGTTGCCTAGAGTGGCTTTTGCTATTCCGGATCTCTTCTGGTTCCAAATGAATTTTGATTGTTTTTCTCTCGTTCTGTCAAATATACTGTTGGAATTTCATTTGGGATTGCACTGAATCTATATAGCAGATTGAAAGTATGGCCATTTTCACTGTATTGGTTCTTCCTACCCAGGAGCAAGGGGTGTGTTCCCATTTTCTGATATTTTCTTTGATTTCTTTTTTCAGAGGGCTGTAGTTTTCAGGGTGGAGGTATTTTATTTCTTTCTTTAGACTGATTCCTAAGTATTTTGTTTTTCTGGATGCTACTGTTAAAGGAGTTGTTTCTCCAGTTCCTCTCTCAGTGAGTCTGTTGTTCATGCACAGGAAGGCTATTAACTTTTGTGTGTTGACCTTGTATCCGGCTACTCCACTGAATTTGGTTATTAAGTCTAGAAGACTTTTCTATGTAAAGTATCATGTTCGACCTCCCTTTTTACCCTTGCTCCTGACGTGCTCGCTTACAGTCACAGGGAACTTCTGCTGCTCCTCAGACACACAGGTGCCTGCCCCCATCAGGGCTCTGCAATTACTCTTCCTCTCTCTGGAATACATGTAGCCCATATCCTTCATTCCCCTTGGGGACTTTTGTCTAATGTTACCTTCTCCAAAGAGGCTTCCCTTGACACTAAACCCCTACCCAAGAGACCCTGACCCCCCTGTTCTATTTATCATCACTTAGCATAATAGAGACTTTATGTTTATTTGTGGACTATGTCATGCATAGAATGTAACAGCCATTCTGCTGGGCACCAAGAACACTGTCAGTACGGCAGGAATTCATGAACAACACATGGCTTCCACTGCCACTTAATAGTTACTGAAGCTCTGCTATAAATATCACTTGGTCGTCATAAAGTAACTGCGAATATCTGGGGGGAATCACATCACGAAGGTCAGCCTCATAGGCCTGCTGGTCCGAGGGTGTTCGTGGTGGTGGCCTGAGGCATGGCTTGTACTTGCTGGGGAGTTTAGGGAGCACAGCTGGTGTACTGAAAGCCTGGGGCCACACAGCTTGCCCAAGAGGCGAGCACCCTGCCCCTCTCTAGTGAAAGCCCAGAGGCAAGACCATATTTCAGAATCAGAAATCCTTTTCCATTTGCTTCACTACAACACAAACTAGGGCACTTATTTGTGAAGCAGACAGGCATCGAAACACTCTGGTTGGAGGCTCCTATACTACTCGTCCAGCTTTAGACGCAGAGAGAGACACACTGTGCTGCTGCATCCTCCGGGCCTCTAACAACAGCCCCCAACTCAGATAACACAACAAACACGGAGCGTCACGACCCGAATTTGTGCTTTGTCCTCCACCTGCAGGGTTCTCGCCCGCCTGCTTCTCCCGGCCTCACCTCCCTCGCTCCCACAATTCCCTGAGGTGTCCTCACGTGTCTCCTGCCCGCCCAGTCTGTCGGAGAGGCTACGCCCGTCTCTGAGATGACAGCCCTCTCTTCTCGCCATTCTCCCCCACCTTTTCGTCTGGCCACTTCTCCACTCGCCCTTCAATCTGAGCCCTTCCACGACCTCCCTGCTGGACTGGTCCTACCCCCCAGGCTTCCGGCACACATCAGCTGGAAACGCTCCACTGTGCGCGTCTGGCCCACCTGCTGGTCCCCTCACGCCCCCAGACTGACCAGGAATTTCCTCAGGGCGGGCCAAGCATTCGAGCCCCAAATCCCCACCACACCCCTCTCCGTGCCCCCCACCTGGCACGGAAAGGAACTCACCACACAATTGCTACATGAATGGCGCTGAGATTGGCCTCAAAGAAGGCAGCTTCTGAAGGATGAGGCCACCTGCCCGGAGCTACCCGACTCGTGACTACCCTCTGCCACGGCCCCTCCCAGCACCAGCGTACAGCACAGGGGTTGAAACTGCTCCGAAATGCCGGTCGAGTACACGGTAAAAGGGGAGCTCAGTCAATGAAGGGGTTCACACATTCCAAGCTGCTGCAAAACCAGTTGTGCTCTGTGCACAGAGCTCCTCGCCCCATCACAGCCGGAGCATCGGCGTTATGCGGTGAGCGGGATGTAGAGGCTTTCAGAAGGGAAGGATGGGGAAACAACCCTGTGAAGCCGGGCTTAATCATATATAGTGTTCTTCGGGAACCAGGAACAGGCGAGAAAGGGATCGCCAAGCCACACAGAACAGCAATAGCAGATTGTAATGAGGACGGCAGCTCTTCCCTGCCAGTCCTAGCCAGCAACCAGAGCCGAGCGGGGGGGGCTCCAGAGCGCCACCTACTGCTCAGGCCAGCGAGGGCCGGTGGGACGGTGGGAAGCTGAAGGGCTGCAGGATGCTTCCCGCAAGTCTTCCAAGATGAGGGCCCCAAGGCGTCCCACCACTACTCGGTACTTCCGGAGCCCAGCAGCTAGTGCGGCAGTGCTGTGCTAGGTGTTCGCAGGCACCATCCCCACTTGACGTCACAGTAACCCCGTGAAGTGGGACTTCCTCCTTCTAATAAAGACGTGGAGCAGAAGGGAGACACCGCCTTACCAAGTGGGCCCTGAGATCCGCTGTTAAGCACGTCAAATGGTCTCTGCTTTCACAGAACTCACCTCTCCCCAGTGGGAGCAGGGGGAGGAAAGGAGAACACTCCAACATGGTAATGTTGAATGTATAAAGTGCGATCAAGGGCATAAGATGGTCAGATGGGTAGTCACTCCCTCTGAGAACAGGGAAGAAGGGGAGTTTTTCCAGAAAGCCTCGGCAGACTCAAACAGCACATGAAGAGGACAAAGACCAGGCTGGGCACGGACAGACCCCTGTGTCCAGGTGTCCACACAGGAGGGGCAGGGGAACGGCAGCCATGTGTGCACAGGAAGGCCTAAAGAAAGTACAGCGGGGGTGTGCAGCACAGAAGCTACAGGTCAGAATGAAAGGAAGACACTGTGCCAACGCCGTCTGGGGAACGCTCCTGCTGCTGGGGAGCAGGTGAGCCCGTGTGCATGGAGCTGCTCTGGAGCTGAACTCGTGGAAGCTGCCATCTTCCAGGGCCTGGTCGGGTGGCAGCCACCCTCAGCTCCCCACTACAGCAGACCTCACCACGAGTTTTCCCTCAGATCTACTGGTGGGAACTTTCTAGTCCCTGTGTATTTGCTCTCTGCAGAATTAATATTATTAACAATTGTAACTTAAAATGCTTCCATCTCCCACTTTCTATGACAACTGTCTCTTGTCTTTCCCCCTACTTGTCTGGCAATCTCTTGAATGCTTCCCCTGCTCTCCATTTCCACACCTCTCATCTTTTGTTTTCTTTTTATTTTTTTTGGTACCGGGGATTGAACTTGGGTCCTTGCGCTTGCAAGGCAGGCCACCGAACTACTAAGCTAAATCCCCGGCCTCATCTTTTCTTGTATAGATTACTCTAGCAGCTTTTAAGCCAGTCTCCCCATCTCAGGAGTAAATCCCTCCAATCCAGTCTCCATAAAGAGGAATCAGAATTCTTTCTGAAACCTCAGTGTATACCTGTCTCCTCCCTGAATGAAATCCCCCAGTGGCTGCCCAGTATCCACAACTAAGCTCAATCCCCACGGCATGGCATTCAAAGCCCTCTTTTCTCTAGCAAGTGCCAGCCTCACCCACTCCCAGTCACAGATACACTACTGAACTACCTGCAGGTTTCCTGATGGACCGCGTTTCTCTTGCCTTTATCAATCAGCAAAAGCAGCTCTCTAAGCCAGGAACGCCCCTTACCACGACCAGCATTTTGTTAAATTTATTATTTGATGTCACATACATAATCCTAACCATGTATTTTACATAAAAACAATGGACCCACTACGGAATCTAAGAACTAGCATTAGCAATTTCAGCTGCACTGTCCTATTACGGCCCCTTCCCAAGGCCTCCAAAGCTAGCTACCATCATAAGTCACAGAGCATTAATTTTCCTGCTTTACAGAAACACTTACTGAGTAGAATAATTTTTGTACATCCATCAAACTATCACCACAATCAAGGTGACATTGGGCCAACCCAAAAGCTCCCTTTTACCCCTGTGCCACCTCCCATCCCTCACTTCCCACACTTCTCCATCTCTCTTCCCAGGCAATCGTAATCTACTTTCAGCTACAGACTGCAGTAACCTCCATCTTCCAGACTCTAGAGAAACGGACCAGGCAGTGTATACACACTGGCTCTTTTTACTCAGCAGAAGTATTTCCACATTCCGTGCTGCCGAATGCACCACTAGAGTATCGCTCTCTATGCTCGAGCCATGGGAGTCTGCTGAACACACCACCACGATTCGCCTACCTGCTACCTTCTGGTGAGCTTTTGGGTTGTCTGGTTCAATGAAGTACATACAAAGCTGCTACGAAGAACTGAGTCCAAGTCTTCAGACATCTGTTCTCTTTTCTCTGGTAAATTAAACTTGGCTGCATCATAGAACAGGCCTATATTTAACATTTTTAGAAATTCCCAAATTGTTTACCAAAACTATTGTTCTCTTTTGCATTCCTACTGTCAGTGCATGAAAGTTCCAGACCCTCCACAACTGATACATAGTACAGCCAGTCTTTAACTGTATCCATTCTAGGAGGTATATGGTGGCACTTCAGTCGTAATAACTACTTATGCTCAACAATTTTTCCTGTGCTTTCCCTCTTTATATCCACTTTCATGAAGAACCTGCTGAAATCATTTGCCTTTTTGTTCTCTGGCATTTGTTTTCTTATTGAATGTTAAAGAGTTCTTTGGAGATTTTGTTAAAATCCCCTTTAAATATGAGATTTGCAATTTTTTTCTCAATATGAGGCTTGTCTTTTCATTCTCTAAACAGTAACTTCCAAAAAGTAGATTTTTTTGTTTTGTTCTGTTCTGTCTTGTACCACGGATTGAACTTAGGACCTTGCGATTGTAAGGCAGGTGGCAGAAAAAAGTGGAATATTTTTCTAGTATTTTTTTCTCTTTTTCTTTTATTATGGACAACTTCTGCTGGAAAGTCTTCAAGATCACTAGTCATTCTTTATAAACCCTAATCTAAGTCTAAGTCCACCCAGTATGCTTTTCATTTTATAGTAATTTTCACTCCTAAAGTGAGATGCAGGTCTTTTTTCAATCTTTATGACTTATTCAACACGCTCCATCTTTTATCTTGTTTCTGAAACACATGGAATGCTGCAGCCATAACTGTATCACTGCCTTGTCTGCTAACTTGATCATCTGTGTCAGACATGGTTGGTTTTGCTTGATCAGAGACTTCTTCATTATGCACCGTCTGTTTCCGCTTCTTTTTGCCTGACTGGTAACTTTTATTCCGTGCCAAATGTTACAAGATATTATAAGTTCACTGGGTGTTGTGTATTTCTCTATGCCTACAAACACTATTGAGCTTGGCTCCGGGCTGCCACTAAGTTACGCGACTATGCTTTGATCCTTTTAAGTTTTGCTTTTGATTTGTGAGGCAGGACCAGAGCAGTTTCAGCCGGTAGTGAGGAAGAATCCCTCGGAGCATCCATCACAAGACAGCGTCTTGAGCACTAGCCAGGGAAGCCGCATCTACCCTGGGTGAGCCCCAGTGTGCTTCTCTGCTCCTTTTGGGTGATGCTCTCCAACACCCGGGAGTTTCCTGCTTTTATGCACTGATCAATCTCAGCTGAAGACAAACAGAGGCCGCTGCGCACCGCCTGGCTGCCTATGCCGCTCTCTCTCCAGTGCTCCGCGCCGGCTGCTCTGGGTTCCCCGTTTCATCTGTGATTGACGCTTTCTGCCTGGACCCCTCTGCCCACCGCACACCCGAAGGCTCTCGCTTCCACTGCTCTCCATCTTTCAGGGACCACCTCTTTCACTGACTGACATCCAGTGGTTTTAGAACTGCAGTGTCAGGCAACTTTTCCAACTGTTTTCATTATTTCAGGACAGTAGCCCTATTTCCTCAACTTGGGCAGAACTGGACCCTTCTCCCGCCCTTGCCCCTACCTCTTTGCTTTTAACCATTGCATCAACCCCTAAATAATGTGTTTAATGTTACTTGTTCTTGAGTTTTATAAATATAGTGATTATACCTTTTGCATTCTTCTGCATTTCGATTTTACTTTATTTCATATTATATCATTAACAGCCCAGGTAACTGCAGGTAACTATGGTTTATTCATTTTTACCACTAAATAACATTTCCTTGCACAAAGATACTATAAAATCTTTATTTTTTCACTGATAAGAGATTTGGAGTGATACCTGTTCATGTATTTTGCCTATTAATCTACTGAACCATTTGACTTTTCCTCACCACTTTGTAGAAATTATTTTTACTTCTACAAAGGATTCTGGGTCATCTTTAATGTTTATAAACTTTTCAAGTATCTTTCCCAACTGGTGACATGACTTTTCATTGTTCTTCTGTCTTTGAACAGAAATTCTTGTTAATTCATAATTTTAATGTGGTAAAAGGCATCAAACTCTTATGGTTAGCTTTCTGGTAAACTCTTTGCTACCAAAAGCCATAGGAGTTTTCTACGTTCGATTATAGAAGTTTTAGTTTTACACTAACGTCATTAATTTACCTGGAGTCTAAACTGTCATCCGTGGCATGAAAGATGCAAGGGCATTTTATTCATATAACTCATTAGTGTTCTCGAGCCACTCACTGCATGGCCACTGTGTCCCCACCTGCAGGGACGCCTGTTCTCCGTCAGATTCCCACGCGCACTGGCCAAGGCCTGCTCGGCCCCACAAGCCTGTCCAGCTCACACCGACACTCATCATCCAGGTACAGGAGCCTCAATCCCGGATAAGATGCCTCCCACTGATTTCCTGCCTTTCAGCTCTTCCTTCTATTGCTATCCTGATTATTTCCTCCTGTTCTCTTCTTCACTGCTTTGAACTTCCAGTAAATTGTTCATTTGAAGCTGTGACAGTAACGATTATTGTCTTGTCCCAATTTTTTTAAGGTTCTAAAACATTTATTTCTTCCCATTCATAGGTTACTAAGCATTTAATTAGGAAAGGGTGCTCAATTTTAATAAAATGTCTTTTCTGCATTTTTAAAGATAATCATATGGATTATTTGCTGTTAATATGTTAAATTAGGTTTATATATTTTATAATATTAAACCACCTAAGCCTTCTTGGAATAAGCCCAACTTCATTAAAATTATCTTTCTGTACATTGCAGCATTTTTGTACCCTCATTGGGTTATGAATTTTGCATTCATTTCACTTTTCCACATGCTTCTTCTGTGTTTTAGCACTGTGACTTAACTGACCTTACAGAATAAATTTGAATTATTATTTTTCTATAAAGTTTCTGAAAAACTTTATATAAGACCACAATGAAATGTATGTTGAAAATGAGGTAACAATCTATAAAATCACCTGATGATCATCTTTGCTACCATCAATGGTCTATGGGACAATTACAGTTTTGTTTATTCCATTTCCTTTTTTGTAACTGAGTCAATTTAAGTATCCTCCTAGGAATTTTATTATTTCTTCTAAGTTTTCAAATATATCACCATAAGTTCTTAATGTTCTCATATTATCTTCTAAATCTGTACTGTATCTATAGAAGTGTCTTGGTTTTACCCTAATGTTTCCTATGTGCTGCCTCTCTTCTCTGGATTAATCTCAACAAAAATTTTCCATCTTGTGAATTAACTTTCAACACTGCTAATTTGCCTTTATGTATCTTTTCCTTTCTTCTGCTTTTTAAAGATTTATTCAGCTTCATCTATGCTTTAAATTGAATGCTTATTTTATTACTTTTGAATCTTTTTTCCTTCATAATAAAAATACTGGATATTTTAAACTGCCATCTAAGTAATAGCTTAGATTCACAAGATTTTATAAGTAATAAATCATCATCTCGTAGGGTCTCAATTTTTTCTGACTAGAATTCATTCTTCTGTGCATATTATTTAGTGTATTGTGTGTCTGGGTCAGCTTACATAGGCTCAAAGGAACAGTCATTAAATTTTCAGAAATTTTGAGAATTAGTTGTTAAACAGTCATTACTAAAAATAGAATTACATAGCTTAATTATATCAAAAGTAATAAATACTCAAACCACATTATTTCTATTTCGTTTTGCTTCACAGTTTCCCACCACGTATCTGTAATGATAAGTTACGTAACATTACGGTGCTATATACCCCAAATGATAGTTCTGCCCAGCGGATAATCCTTGGTGGTTCCTTGCCTGAGTAAGCTATGGAAGAAGTATTCATACTGTAGAAATTAGCAAATTCTACAAAATAGGACTTTTCTTCCAGAGAGTTAAATATGCATTTTGTGTATGTTATATAAATGCGTCACTTATGCCTCATGCATCAATGAGGACTGCATTGTTCTATTTTCTAGCATATATTATTTTATACTTTAAATGACCTTTTAAAATGCTACATATGAGGAAAATGGTAGATTTAATGTCCGTCCAACCCAACAGGCATGACGAAGACTATGTGGTCATTCACCCTTGGAGTCAGGGGATGGTACAGGAACGACACAACAGTCCTTCAAACTCCCCTTAGCTGCCAACAACTGCGAACCTGCTTCGAGCTAGGAGTTCTACTCATGCTATGTGGGCTCCTACTCAACCCCACAGCAGTTTTTTCCTGCCCTGTTATCTTTGCCAAAACACTGCCTACCCATTTCTGCTGCCACCGCTTGCACAGTGCTGTACGGGTGACGAAGCACCTGCACATACACCAGATCTTCCTCCTCAGAGCCCCCGCGAGGCAGGCGGTATTACAAGGCTGCCCTCGTTCTGGTATCCGGGACCTCTAGATCACGCTGTGCTTCCTCTTGGCTGTCAGCTCGGGCTTCCGCTCGGTCTCGCTCCATCTTCGTAATTCCAGACCAAGGAGCTCCAACCTCCTGCCAGAGCCCATCTACCACCCCTTTCTTGATTTCAATTGTCCTAATGTAAACTTTCTGAAAGGCTTCTTTATTCATTGGCAGAAAAGATAAAACCCTGCCTTTAACAACAAAGCTGTCAAAACTGCCAAGCCAGTTTGTTGTCTGATAAACACAATCATTGTGAGAAGTAGAAAATGAGAAATTGGTTTTTAAATTTCATTTCTCACTGCAGCAGAAGATTATCACTAGGATGACAATCACTTCAGTTACAGGCACCGTGGAAGGACGTTTGATTCCCTGGAAGGCTCTGCTGGACAGTGAGCATGCAAATCAGGGAGTCAGAAAGCAGGCACAGCCGCAAGGAGCACAGGACACCGCCGCCCACAGTCTTGGGGAAACGTCTGGAACACACCCCGTCCACAGTCTTGCCCAAGTAGATCCTCACTTGCATACTCTCCTCTACTGTTCACTGCCAGTTATCTCAGAGAAAGAGGAAAACTGGCTGTCCGCCTCCCACTTACTTTTCCTCCACCCTTTGTCATCACAAATGCATCGTTCTACTTTGTCTGCTCTCTCAAAACTCACAATGACTCCTAATCAACTTTACCTTATCTCTCGCACCACACATATGATCCCCACTCCTACCCTTCTAACTCACTTCTCTCCAAGTCTCTGCATATTCATTTCCTTCTGATCTTTGGATTTTGAGCCCGCAGGCCACATTAGCCCTTCCAGTTCAGCACATACAAAAGGCAAATAACCACACTACTTGAATCTCTAGGATACATGTTTAATAATGTAACTAGAAATTACATCACTTCCTAAGCCTGTGACCCCAGACCACTTTAAATGTCTGTAATCTCTAATAATCAATCAATATTTTCTAAGACAGATGGAAATTCATAGTCAACAGACTCACTCTGTCAACCCCTAATCAACCACCAACTCATGTCACCTGAACCTATAAAACAAAACTCCTTTCCATCCATCCATTTATCCATTCTTTCCTTTCTATCCAACTTGAATGACTCCTATTCCATGTCATTATTTTTTCCTTAAAAGAATTTTTGTTTTATTTTGGAAATATTATAGCACGAATAATGGAATCTTAAAATACAGAAATAATAGACACTAATTTAACCTTACAGGTTACTTTTCCTTCCGGTGTAAGTCCAGTGCAATAATTTTATACAGCTTTATTATAGCAAACCATTTTAAAGATTTTCTTTGAATATGAAAATATTATACAAATTTACCCATGTCATTAGTCACATCGAAAGTATTAAAATAGAAACCTATTTCATTCAAATGATACATTAACCATCTTGCTACTATCAGATTATTAGAATGTTTACAATGCTATATGTTAAAAGATAATGCTAAAGGAATGTTTCATGCACATTTTTTTCTTCCTGTGAATTATTTCTACATGAATATTTCAAAGAGTCAGTGAGGTCCAAGGGCTTACATTAATGTATTTATCTTTCCAACTATCTTTGAATTTTCCAAAGGCTTACCACACCCTTCCCCAAAACAGGTACCATTTGTACTAACTGCAGTTCAGCGGTCTCGCCCCAGCACTTCCTGTACCCTTTACCTCATAAGGACACAGCACCCCATCTCATCTCTCACAGTCACGATGGGGACTGCAGTATTTCACAGTTGTTCTTTAGCAGGTAAAGAAACTCCTGTGCTTTCCTAGTTTTTACCATGAATGAATATTGGATTTTATTAAATGTTTTCTGTTCAGCTGTTAAGATGATCACGCAGACACTATCCTTTCAAATACGATGTATTACATTAAATTTGGATATTGAACAAGCCTTGCATTCCTGGGATAAATCCTTCTGGTCATGGTGGACGATTCTTTTTATATGGTACCAATCTGGTTTGTTAATATTTCATTAAGGAATTTTCTGGCATTATTCATAAAGGATATAGGCTTTTTTCATTCTTATAATAATAAAGACAAAGACATCAGAGAACTAGTAGTTCCATAGTTCTGATGTAATTCCACCTCTATTTTTAAAGTTTATACTATTACTGTCATATACAGCACATCGACATATGCCATGTACCCAACAATACATTATAATTATTGCTTTATATAAGGCTGTCTTTTAAAGAAGTCAGAAAATATAGATGGATGTCTCTTTTTAGCTCACATATTTGCCATTTCTGAGGTCTTTCATGTCTTCCTGGGGATTTGAACTGAATCTGTGCCATTTTTTCTCATTCTGAAGGATTTTGTTCAGTATGTCTTATAAGGAATACTGCTAGCCACCAATTCGCCCCGTCTTTATTAGATACGTTTTTATTTTACTTTCATTTATGAAGACAAGTTTCAGTAAAAAATTTTTGGTTGAATAAAATTTTGTTTTTAATTTCAGCACTCTCAGTAAGGCATTCTGTTGTTTCCCGGCCTCCACTATTGCAGATAGAAGGCCAGCCCTTGAATCAATCAATAAGCCTGTCAGTCATTTTCTCCTGTAGCTTTCAGTTTTCACTCTGCCTTTTGCTCTCATTTTCTTCAATCGTTTCTCTGTTTATTCATAACTTCTACTAATTATCTTCAAATTCAGCTATTCTTTATTTGCCATCTAAATCTCCTGTTCAGTACCTATGGTGAATTTGTCATTTGTTATTGTACTTTCAACTCCAGAATTTTTTATTGTTTTTAATTTTTAGCTCTTTATAGACTGTTTTCATTACCGTAATTCTTTAAATACACAGTAGTTGCAACAGCTCTTTCAACATGTGTAGTAGCTTCTTTCAAGTCTGTCTGCTAAGCCCAAAATCTAAGAACTCTGAGAAGTACTTTCTATTTATCACTTTCTTTCAAGAATGTGGGTTACACTTCACTGTCTCTTGCATGCCTCACATTTTGCTAAATATGAACAGTACAGAAAACACACTGTATTAACTGTGAATGCTGACTGCCCCCTTTGCAAGTCATTATGTCTCAGTTGCTTAAGGTAAATCTGAAATGTCTCCATCAAGCATATGTAGCTGTGATATCGATGCTAAATTACTTTTTTTTTTTTTTTTTTTTTTGGTACCAGGGATTGAACTCGGGTCCTTGCGCTTGCAAGGCAGGCCACCGAACCACTGAGCTAAATCCCCAGCCCCATAAATTACTTTTTTTAAAGCTGTTTTATTGTGGTTGTTGTTTTTATTTTTCATTTTTAAGCCTGGACTCTTACGTTTCCATGGGTTGGCAATCAGTCACTGACTCACGAGAGGACACAGTCAGACCACTCAAGCCCAGAAGGCTTTGGCCAACAACCTGCACAGCGGGGGATGCATAGGAAGTTCAAGCTGGTTCAGTCAGCCTACACTTTGGCCTTCTGTTAGGCCCTACCATGTCTCCGAGCTGAAAAGGCGGGTGTGGACATTCCTCTGTCCAGCCCTGGCTGCACACTTCACTTGGGATAATGTTGCTGACACACAGAGAAGCTGGCTTTCCCCACTTCCCCATCGCCAGGACTGTCACTTCCACTAACCATGCTGGTGGCCACTTCAGATCAAGTCCAGTCAGCTGCAAGCTTCCTGGGTCCTCACAGACTGCTCTGCCTGGACAGAGCCTCCACACCACATAGCTGTGCGACAGTGAAGAGAGGAAGCCAGTTGAGAACAGCACAGACTCCCGTTCTTAATGGAGTCCTGTCTTGCTTCAAGTGTAAATGCCTCTCAGATTGATACATAACTCTGGACAATTCTAGACTCCTGAAATTGTTATCTGTGTCAGTTTGTCCAAGCATTTTAGGGAGATTTGCCGGCTTTCTCAGAACCACAGCCCATATTTTAAATTACTCATTATTGTTTTATTTGGCACTATTGAACATTTTATTTATACTTTCCCTTGAGTGAACTTTCCATTCTCCTATTTGCTTCTACTTACTTTGATAGTTTTTTCATCTCTGAATATATCATGTTAAATCTTTACCTATATACTTAATATATATTAAACTCACTTATTTTTCTCACAATATTTTTATAACTTTTCCCCCAAGAGCTTTTTATTACAAGAATTAGAATGTTTTCTGGTACTTTAAACCTGAGAAAGTTCCCCAGTTACTCTACTAAAATCAATTACAGGGGATGGAGATTTAGCTCAGTAGATCCGCCACTTGCCTGGAAAGCACAAGGTCCTGAGTTCAATCCCCAGTACCAAAAAAAAAAAAAAAAAATTGCAGTGTTTTCTCAACTAATCCCTTAGCCTCCTAACTTCAGCCCAGAAAAGACATTCATTAAGCATTTCATGAGTTATTTATACCAACAAATTAACAGTAGGCAATATTAATTGGTGAAATCCAAAATTTAAAATATAACAAGTTCTAGTCTATTTAGTCTATTTCTGGAAGAATACTTATAAATGGAGACCTCTGTAGTTTGGCGACATTATTAACACGTCAAAAATGTTAAATTATTTCAAAATTTAGATTAAATATTCTCGGTCCATCTCCTCTACCTCATTTACCCTTGAAATGACCTCCACAGTTAGCAAGCTTTAGCCCAGGTTACATTCAGAACAATTGCTAAATGAATACATCATGTGATCGGAAGGTAGACGAGGCACACTGACTCAGACATAACCTCGGTCCCCAGGTGCAGGTCGAGACCTGCTGAGGCAGCCATAATGGACAAGACCAGGTAGGGGCTATACTCAGAAATGATCAGCTTCTATAATGGCTGCTTGTAAGGATGGACATGCTAACAAAAGCACTTACTGCCTCACCACAGCTTCTCAGATCAAACTCACAGCAATGTGAGATTCATGGGCAGCACGTCATCAAGGGTCATTACCAAGAAGCAATCTTACAAGTTATTTGGGGTAAACTTTTCATAAACTAAGAAACTGCAGCATTTAAAAAAAGTGTAGGATGAAAGATAGTATAATTTTCACTGCTCTACAGTACAATCCAAGGCTGAAAGATTGTTTATTGCACCCGAATTATCACAAAAATGGTATGACCAGAATCAGGGAAAGAGCCTTTCCACCCTCTGACCCTAGGCTCTGCTGAGGGGGACGGTGCATACTGAGAAGCAGAAAAACAAGAAGGTGTGAGAACAGGCGCCACAGTGTACAGGACAATGTGTGTGTGCGGAGGGTAGCAAGTTAAAGATACTGAGGCTTGGTTACAGGTGGTACCTCCAGTTTCACAGCCTATGCATTTTCAAGATGACAACTTTAAAAGATCGTTACTAGATATCCTAAAAGTGGAGAGGTTCAATGAATACCCCATAACAAGAACATTTCTATGCCTCTAAGTAATTCTTTGGCTTTCTGAAACAAACTCATTTCACAAATGGTGTAACGTGCTAAAACCACCAAGGTACAGCTAGCTACTCAAGGTCTTTCCTGATGGGAGGTACCCAGTGTTTATGGAATATTTAGACAAGACAGAAACTGAGAATCTAACCCATTTCTTATCTGACAGTTCAGGTTGGACTGAACTGCCAGGCAACTGCCTGTCAAGCAGAAAGCACAGCCTCAGATATATAATTGCTTCAGCAATACATATGATCCACAGGGCTCCTCGGTTTATGAATGAGTCAGAGAAGAAACAAAAAAAATGAATCATCCTTTACCACGCTGTGGCTATATGAAAAAAATCACCAGTGTGAAAATCACCTGTGATTGGCTTCCTTAATGACTGGGTGGGAGTAGCTGTCCCAAGGGAATTGGTTCTTTCTACAGGGGATACTTCTTCAATTCAAAGATTTCTTGGTTGGCTAGCTACAAATGTACCTCCATGAGGAATGACACAAGGCGAAACCAGGTTCTCCTCTATCATTTTGCTCAAACTGCCCAAAATCCATCCATACTATTAAAGTGAAGCAGAAATGGGCCAGCATTCCACTAACTCAGACAGAACATCCCAGGAACCTTCCTGAGAGTTTTCCACTCCAAAATCATTCCTATTGTTTCAGCTGCCTTCCCTTCCCACTCAGTTCTAGAAATGGAGACTGTCTGGTGACAAAGTAAAGAGCTAAAATCTTCAAGGTTTCACGGAGGGGTTGAGGGAGGGCTACAGGAATTCATGTGTGTAGACACAAACATGTGGATACAACTACCCATAAGTCTGGAATAGATGCTGTAGCACTCAAGGGGCATGGTTTGAATGGGATATCAAAAACAAAATCATCTCATTCCATAGAAAGGGCTTGGAATATTTATATACAATGGAGCACTACTCTCTCAAAAAAGGATAAACTTGAGATACTTTTAGGTAAATAGATGCATCTCAAGACCATAATCTTTTTTTTTTTTTTTTTTTTTTTTT